TTTCACTTACCTTTGAGATTATCTCGATTGTCTTTATTTTGGTGAAAACTATTTAAAGTTTAATTAAATATATTTTCCAAACGCGAATACATTTTCAAGAAATTGAAAAACTGAAACACTTACAAACTGAAAAAATGAAATCAAACACCAAGTCACAAATAGTTAAAACTGATAAAAATACATTTTCATATTAAAGTCTTGTTAAATTTGCTTAGTAAAAGTAAAAAATATTAATTATTTGCTTAGTAAGGGTAAGATATCATTACTGTAAAAATCGTTTAAATCTAACCGATGTGTGGGCAGGTTACATTATATTGAGTGGTCAACAGAGATATGCCACTTAGATCTATTGAGTTCAAAGTCTTTTAAGATAGAGATAAATAAATTATGGAAGTCAATGAATACAAGCGGCTTATTGTTGTTGACTGTATTAAAGTGTGTGTGCTAGATCTATTGGCGAATTTTAAAATAGTATAGAAGAAAATATAGTAAATTATGATATATAACTCCAGCTTAATTGTTAATTGGCAACATTACTATGTCACATTAAACATAGCAGTAAACAGAAGAAAGATAAAAATTCAGGAATATGTATTTAAGAAAATATTAATAAACGTAATAAAACCATAAACCATTGTTTAACAAAACATAAACAACAAAACACATATACAACAATATATGAAACACATTAAACCTTATGGAACGGGTAGGGTTCAAAAATAGAAATAGCTTTATTCTCACTTAAAATTATACAATTTCATGGACAAAGCTTACAAAAATTAAAAAAAAAAACAACAATAACAATTAAAATTTAGTAAAATTACAAAAATCGTCAATATCATAAAATAAAAGATAGTAAAATATACAATTCATTGCAAAATCTAACTGTTGCATAATAAAACCTTACGAAGTAGTTTGCGAATAAGTTTTAGTTGCTGCATGTGATACCCAAATATATATATATAGCTGGTACCTAAATGTACTGTATTTTCTTATTTTCTTAGTTACTCATTAAGAAACTCTTCCACTGAATAATATCGTATTTCAGATAGATAGGTTTTTGTCATTTTATGTTCTTCTTACAGATTGTTGTAAATACTTTATTTTACTTTTTTGGCTCTTGACAGTATTTTTTAACACTCTAATATGTTTCTTGGCCTTTTCAGATGTTGAAATATCGCTGCTAGACATTTCTTCAACGGTTTTATTTCTAAAACATATACTTAATTAGATAATCATAATCCTTGTTTTTATAAATTAAACTAAAAACACTTTTTATAAATATTACGTGGAACATATGAAAAAGTATTATCACCAAGTAACAACTCTACAGTTTCAGTTTCTGATGCTGTAAGGTGCTCGAAGATGCGTTTTCTATATCTATATTTTCCTTGTCTTCATTGTCATTTAAACATCTAGAATATTCAATTTATGTACATTAGAAAAATATTAAAATTGGTTTAAGATTGAAATAATCTCATACAAAATTTAGCCAAAACTCACCTCCTTTTTAATAGTTTAGGAGAATTAGATTTTACCTTAAAGCCCAAGTCTGTCTCCATATTACATTCTTCAGTATCAATAAATTTTCTAAAATAGTGTGAGTAATTTTAATATTAAAATGAGCAAAAGTATAGAGAAAGTGCCGATGAAGTTGGCTATAAATGTCATGTCAAATTTGTGTTTACGGTATTGCCATGTCCTTATTATGTATATGTTTTATGCCTCAAATATGGTTTGAAAAAGTACATTTTTATTATATTGTTTTATGAAATTGGGTATTTTTTAAATTTCATTAAATTTATATAAAACACGAACGAGTGAATATTTGTTTCTTTTGATATTAGTTGCAGTTAATTACTAGAAAAAAAATATAATTGGCCTTTGGTACATTAGCAAATAAACTTGGCAATACTGTCAAAACTTTGAAAACACTAGCTGCTAGATTGCAACAGATGTTCAGCAGATTTCAATTTTATAACTATTTTCTTATAATTCTGTTATGAAATGGTACCTGAATATATGCTTAAAAAATTAAAGTTAATTTAAATTATAACAAATTAAATTTAAATTAATTAAACTTCTTTTAAAAACTTAAAAATAATGTTTAGTAACATTAATTAATATTATATCGCATGCTCTTTCGTGATTTATTTGTGATATGGCACCACTGCCAACTACAATCTGTCAATCATTTGTAGCTAACTTCATCGGTACTTTCTCTATACTTCTGCCTTAAAATGAAATAAGTAATCAAAATCCACATTTAGATTTTATTTGTAAATTTAATAAACAAATTTGATACAAACCCACCTTTTTGAACGTCCATAAAAATCATCCTTATCAATACTACTGGAAACTGTTTCTTTATTTTCCATATCATTTGTGGAACTGAAACATTGAATTAATAAAATTATTCTACACTAATACATATATAATTAAATAAAAACGTGAAAAATACATATATAATTAAAAACATTAAAATTATACCTATAAATATTATGAAATAAAATTCTTGCATTATTAAATATCTTGCATTTCTACATTTAAAAATACTTATATAATAAAAACTAATAGTTTAGAAACTTTAAAAACTACAGAATAAAGTAAAGTTAAATAAAAATAAAAAAATTAGATCAAACAAAAGAATACCCTAAATATTTAGCTATATTTAGTAAAAAATACTATTTTATGAATGCTTTTTAATATGAATTCAAAAATTGTGGCTTCTCATAACAAAACATTATATAAAAATTAATGGGAAAATCCGAGTAGTTGACTATATACCATCGTTTAAAAAACTTTTGTATTTAGGTATATACCTAAATACAAATGTGAAGTATTTTACTTCTGTATAAGTTTTTTAAAACATATATAATTTCGTCAAAGTATCTTTCTATTTTAAAAACTCCTATACTTTATACAAAAAAATGTGGCAACACTGTGACCCACAAACATATAATTCGATGCCAAGGTTATGTTCATTGTACTCAAATTCAATTTAGCCTTATATTTATTATACTCTGTATGGTAAATTACATAGAAATTCGTTATAGTTACCTTGGTTCTGGTGATTTATGGTAAATATTTATTGGAACAGTTACTTTCCTCAAATTAACCCGTCCACTTGGTTGTATAATTAGATCATGCTTTTTAAAGTGTTCTGAGCAGACCGTAGCATTTTTGGATATGTATTCTTTGTTTAAGCCAAACACAGACAACCACATATCGAGCAGCAGTTGATTCTTTACTGGGAACCTGCATATATTTCATTGAAATTAATATACTTATATTAATTATAGTGTAGATTAGAAAAAATAAATAAATGTATTTATAATACTACAAAATAAAACTTCAATTCATGTCAAGCATTAAGTAATATCACATCTCTGTACTACGCCCATGTTCTAATAATTCCAATGTTTATAATACTTACGAATGGAATGACAGTTCTGGATGTAAATATGAAGTTTTCTTGCATACAACACAGTTACGCACTATTATTACACTTAACTATCTATTCTTCAATTCTAATTTAAAATATATTAACAAATTCACTAAAATGTCACAAAAAGGAAATTATCAACTCGAACGTAAACAATACAACGCCATATTCTTTTTCGTCAAATCGCAGGATTGGTTGATATTACCAATGATGCCAAATTTTACAAAAGTTAATATTATCAGAATATATTTTCTTTTAATAAATTAAAAAATTAATTTTTTTCTTTTAATTCCTTGGTTGCGAAAAGAGTATATCTAAAAATAGTTTATACTAACTAGATAATACATTTTTACTTATAGATTAAAAATAAATTATACTAAAAATCGAAAATTATTTCGAAGATTGACTCGGAAAAAAAATAATATGACAACGTCAAATTAGGGATTTGTGCCTATGACTGTGAATATCTCATGACTTCAAGTAAAGATGTAAATAGACCGGTCCATCTTTATTTATACGTCCATGATCCCAGCACTTTCATCGCTCTGTTTGTTGCTTAGTTAATGTGGCTAGAGAATGACAGTTTGGTGTCTAACCAGATTCCCAAATCTAATACTTCATTTTTCGAGGCTAATGGCAAGTTATTTATGTAGTAAACAAATGTAATTGGATTTCTTTGCCTCGAGAATGACATTTTATGACATTTGTTTATATATTTTTTTTTTGGTACAACATGTTTCTAATAAACTTTGAGAAACATTCACAAAAGTTCAAGCATTAGAAGTTCGCCTTTCGGGATACCGATGCACATAAATTTGGACAGTTAAATTATTGTCACTGAATTTTTCCTTAAATTATCAACATATCGTGATACTCACGAATCGAAAAAATTTTCGTGGTGACACTAAACACGATTATTCCAAACTATCTGCTTACTAAATTTGTGACTGTCTACATTTAGATTTTCGTACTGCACGTAGTAGACAAATTTCTTCTTGCATACCAAAATGTATTTTCGTTGTTTGGTCAAACGGTTGCATATAGAAAAAAATGTTACAGGACTTGTTTACTCTACATTGTGCCCACTACCTATATCTTTAAGGAACGCATTATTTTCGGCGACAACTTGTATTATATTTTTTCGTGTATTCTAAATCTTTTTGAATCTTTTGTATTTATTATTTTATTTTGTACATTATAATATAGGAAATCGATAATTTTTTTTTTTCAATAGAATACATTTTTTTTACAGCATTCAGTATTTCGTTAAATTTTATCACGCGCGCTTTTCACTCATTTTCAAGTAATAATATATAATAAAACCCTTTTAAAAATTGAGCCGTTAGTTTAAAAAAAAATTAGGAAAAATAATGGGAATTTGTCCCTCATTATCTTTGATTGTTACCACATTACCTAAAATTATATTCATATATTATATTTTGTTGATTATATGTTATTTCTTTAAATTGTTAGATACTTACTTAAAACCACAATTGACAGTTTGTTCAGATCTTATGATCCAATGAAAGATTTATTAACATATTTTTTTTTTCAGTGGCAAAAGCCTTGTAGAACCTACGCCCGAATTAGAAAAAGAACTAAAAACCGAACTTGATAAAGTCGCAAAACAATATGGAGGTGGTCAAGGAGTAGATATGACCAAATTCCCATCTTTCAAATTTCAAGATCCTGTCATTGACCCCATTAACTTAGAAAAGTAAATTATTTCTTATAATTTGTTATTGTGAAATAGTAGTAACACTTATGTTTACGAAATAAATAATAGATAATTTCTGTTCTTTTATTAAAACAATAAAAATATTACATTAAACTTAGTATATTTTTTACAGTTTCGGATACAACTACCATATTAAAAGTCTGTCCCAAGGAATAGAACGTTTCTAATAATTTTATTAATTCAGTCTTTGAAATAAGGCATTTGAAGTCTGCTGAGCATGTGCAGTGTTTGTTAATATTATCCAATTTAATCTGAAAATTAAAAAATAAATTTATGTAAATCAGATGAATATTTGTTGTTCTATTTATGCATGATAATATTTATAAAGATGACATTATTTTAAATAAAAATAATACATCTGTCAATAAGTCCGTGCCTAACCATGATGACAACTCTACTGAATTTTCCATTTGACATTTTGGTAGTCCTAATGTCAAAATTTTCATGTCATTTGGATTATTATTTACCGTGTTTGAAGTGACGCTACTTCTGTCATTTTTATAAACAATGCATTCAAAGTAAGTTCGTGTGTTTATTTATCACTATTATAAAACAATGTGAAAAAATACCGCTAAATTCCAAACGCGCTAGTACCGATACCAATGATACTAAGCGCTTCGGAAGGCCAATTGGTGCAGTTATTGCTGAAAACATCGAAATTTACATTCGAAGAAAATGTGATTTAGATCACCTTTTTGGCAGTCTGGACATAAATTTGAATTTACGATTTTTAATTTGGACAGATGACTAGGATAGCAGGTGTGTCCAAATTTTATACTAATTATATATATATATATATATATATATATATATATATATATATATATATATATAAATCTCGTGTCACAATGTTTGTCTTCAATGGACTCCTAAACCAATTAACCGATTATAATAAAATTCGCACACCATGTGCAGTTCGATCCAACTTGAGAGATAGGATAGTTTAAATCTCAAATTATAGTCGCAATTTTAATTTATTGCTAATTATTTGTCTTATTATTTGACAGTCACAATTATCTGTTAACTCCAAATGATTCTAAGAGATGTCGATACCTTTCGACTGGGTTGAGTAAGTAATCAATAGATGGCGCTGCTATGGTAAATCTACGAACGTGCCATATAAGCTACATTTTAACAGCATAATTACCACTGACTAAATTTATTTTGTAGTGAACGAAATATCGTATAATTCAATTATTTCCACTTTTTAAATTTTTGGTGTTAGCATAGCCGGCCACGTGTTACTTAGACTGAAGTGTAAATTGAATTCATATTATAGTGAAGATAATACAGTGAAATTAATCCTGTTTTTTACTTATTTGTGCTTCATTGATCAAAACTTTATAATTTAATTTGAATATATGTATGTAAGTATTATCACATAATTATAAAATTTAATTAAAATGTCAATGCAAAAATGATACACAATTTCCTACACTTTTTCAATAGTTGTACAAATATTTTTTTTTATTGTTTTTATTTAACCTCTATTAAAAAATATTTAACACTTATTCAAGTATCAAGTAACATCACTTAAATTAGTATTTCAATTCTTATTGAAATTATTATTTAAAATCTATAATTTAAATATGTACATGTCAGTATTATCACATAATTATAAAAGTTAATTAGAATGATTTTCAATTTTTCTTTTCTCATATTTAAACGATTAAATCATTCGTTCGGCTTGCCTTTGAATATGCACCAGATATTAACTACTCAGCGCATTCAAAAATTGCTATCGGTGGAATGGATAAAGTATGTCAATATTGTCAGGCATTGAAATTTCGGAATGAAGCAGCCGGCATGTGCTGCGCATCAGGAAAAGTTGTGCTGTCACATCTACACGCTCCGCCAGAGCCATTATTATCCCTTCTTACTGGCAATTCATATGATTCCAAATTATTTTTGCGTAAGATACGCAAATTTAATTCTTGCTTCCAAATGACGTCATTTGGGGCAACTAAAATTTGCGATCGAGCATCCGATGGACGTAATTTTGAAACTACATTCAAAATTCAAGGCAGGTGTACCATAAAATCGGATCACTGATGCCAATGCCTGATAACAATCCGAAATTTCTTCAAATTTATTTTATGGGCGATTGTGAAGAGCGCGTGACGACTCGTTGCCTGTATAATTTTATTGAACAAGCAGAGGAAAGAGCAATTGTGATATTATTGGAAAATTTTTTAGAAGATCACAATCAACTAATTCAATTGATCAAAAGAGTTTCGCCACGACTGCAAAATGACAATTATCAAATCGTCATAAAAGCCGACAAAGTACCATTAGGTGAACATGCTGGTAGATTCAACGCTCCAACTGTTGATGAGGTTGCTGTTATCATGGTTGGTGATTAAGTTGACAAAAGATCTATAAAAATTACATGGCGAGACAACACTGTCTACGATTTCGGATCTACACCGTTCATATGACGCACTACAATATCCATTGATATTTTGGCAAGGACAAGATGAATATCACCTTAATATCAAACAGTATGATCCAAATACCGGTAAATTTGACAATTATTACTTTCTTACTGTATGTATAGATTTTAATTTCGTATTGCATTTTATTTTTTTAGGTGATTACAGAAATAATAAAGTTAGCTCAATGAACTACTACGCACACCGAATAATGGTTAGGCAACATCAAGACAATTATATCCTTCGATATCGTCAGCTGTTCCATCAATACATTGTTGATATGTATGCTAAGGTCGAAAGCGAACGCTTGCGATTCCTTCTTTTCAACCAGGCAAAACTACGATCGGAAGAATATATTCACTTACGAGATGCTGTTGCTGGAAACATCGATGGAAATTTAAATCCCAATGACATCGGTAATGCTTTCATTTTACCTTCAAGCTACATCGGCAGTCCACGGAACATGCAGGAATACATACAAGATGCGATGACTTACGTACGTCATTACGGCCGGGATTTATTTATTACATTCACATGTAATCCGAATTGGGAAGAGATACAAACTTTACTATTGCCAGGACAACAAGCCATTCATCGTCATGATTTAACGGCACGTGTGTTTAAACAAAAATTGAAATCCTTAATTGATTTTATTGTTAAATATTCAATTTTTGGTATCACACGTTGTTGGCTGTATACGATAGAATGGTAAAAGCGAGGTTTGCCTCATGCCCACATTTTGGTTTGGATTAAAGATAGAATCCATTCTGAAGAAATCGATCAAATAATTTCAGCCGAAATTCCAGACCCATTAATTGATCAAGAATTATTTGATATTGTCACCAAACACATGATCCATGCGGTGCTTTCAACATGACGTCACCGTGCATGGAAAATGTAAAAAAAAAAGATTCCCAAAGCCGCATACGAATGACACGATCACGGATATTGATGGTTATCCAATGTATCGCCGCAGAAGTACTGAGAATGGTGACCACACATTTACAATGCGACTGCCGAACTTTTCAAATCAAGTTGAGTTTGATAATCAGTGGGTGGTACCATACTCACCACTACTTTCAAAAACTTACAAAGCTCATATCAATGTTGAGCTTTGCAGTTCTGTTAAATCAATTAAGTATATTTGTAAATATGTAAACAAAGGCAGTGATTTGGCCATATTTGAAGTACAAAACATAAATAAAAATGACGAAATAGCACGATACCAAATGGGCAGATACATTAGCAGGAATGAAGCTATTTGGCATATTCTCAGCTTTCCCATCCACGAAAGAGATCCTGCTGTCCAACATCTGGCAATACATCTTGAAAACGGTCAACGTGTATACTTCACTGAAGAAAATGTTCTCCAAAGAGCGTTCGAAGCTCCGAAAACGACTCTAACTGAATTTTTTACATTGTGTCAAAAACCTGATGTTTTTGGCCAATTCGCGAAGACATTGGTGTTTGGTGATGTTCCACGTTATTTCACATGGAACAAATCCAGTAAAAAATGGGAGCCACGGAAACAAGGAAAACCACATCCTTCCATTACAGGCATATTCAAAGCTAAGACATTGGGGATACTTTACACGGTACATCCAAAGCAACGTGAGTGCTTCTATTTACGTTTGTTATTGGTGAATGTTCCCGGACCAACGTCTTTTGAATTTTTACGAACAGTTAATGGTCGAGTATTTAATACATACCAGGATGCATGTCGTGAACTGCAATTGCTAGAAGACGATAACCATTGGTACTTAACGCTTGCTGATGCTGCGTTGACATCAACACCGAATAACATTCGTCAGTTGTTTGCAATTATTTTGACGATATGTTATCCCTCGCAAGCACAAACTTTGTGGGAAAAATATAAAAATTGTATGACAGAAGACATCTTGCACCGAATTAGACAAACAAATCAATGCCAAAACATAGATTATACACCAGAGATGTACAATGAAGCATTGGTTTTGATCGAGGATTTATGTGTTCTTATTTCAAATTTACCACTTAATCGTTATGGTATGCCATCACCTAATCGTCCAGCCACCGACTTAGTCAATACCGATTTACAACGAGAAAATCAATATGACCATGGAAGTTTAGCAACAATTATCATGAACAGTGAATCATTACTAACAGCAGAATAAAAAATTATTTATGATCGGATTATGCTGGCTGTTGCTACTGAACAAGGCGGTTTTTTTTTTCTTGGATGCACTCGGTGGAACCGGTAAGACATTTTTAATATCGTTGATTCTTGCCAAAATACGGTCGCAACAAAAAATCGCATTAGCAGTAGCATCGTCAGGCATTGCGGCTACTTTACTGGATGGTGGGCGAACAGCACATTCAACATTCAAGCTGCCATTGGACGTTCGTAATAAACCAGATGCAATGTGTAACATCAAAAAGAATAGTGGAATAGCTGCAGTGTTGCGGAAGAGTTCTATAATAATTTGGGATGAGTGCACAATGGCACACAAATATTCACTTGAAGCATTAAACAGAACTATGCAAGATTTAAACAGCAATAATAAACTTTTCG